CAGGGCTTGGTGAAAAATAAAAATGCCGGGCCTGTTTTTAAAAAATTATTGAGAATTTCGGGATGGTAAGAGCAGAACATTAAATCAAGCCTGGGGCCCTTCTATGTGTGGGGTTCTGTATGACTGCACAGGTTGCGAGCCTGTGGGTGGATTTGTTTCCAGATTGTAATTCCTAGGCATCCAGCACACCTGCTCTCCTTGCATTCCTTGGTGGTTTATAGGATTATGACCTCTCCTCCAATATTTTGACTGTACCCAAGGAACAGTCACACAGGTTGTTACTTACTTACTAGAAAGTGAGGGAATTCATGAGATGGGATGATACCAAAATGTAAATAATCTTACTGTTAGTTTCATTTTTAATTACATAGCAGTGTTTTTGGTATACTTTATTGACAGGCTCTGATGGTTTGGTTGGCTTTAAAATTCTGCCTTAAATGGTTTTAAGCAGTCCCTTGGCTTTTTCTGTTGGCCTCTCCTAACTTTTCCTACTCTGTTGCTTCTTGTTCTCTAACCCAGACATGCTCTATAGCCATCCTCCAGCTCCAGCCCATCCACAAATGCTGTACTCAATACCCTTGGGCCTCTCCTCTGCATAAAGCTTCTTTGCTGCTAAAAGCTTCTTTTACTTACTTCAACATTCGGTTTGAATCTTAAGCACTTAAGAACAATTCCTTTTAAACCCTTCCTCATCCCTGTCTTGGATGCTAATGTAATTCTTAAGTCCCAGAAATTCCCAACTTTTTCCTAGAACAGAGCTACTTTTGATTTCTACCAAGTCTTCAAAACTGTTGGAATTGGAATTTAGTCAAGTTAGTGACCTGAAGGATAGAGAATATGGGGGATTATCCATACTTAAAGCTTCAATATGTTACAGATTAACTGTGTAAAAAATAGACCTGGTCAAGGATGAAATAGGTTGTTATGTAATGTAATGGCTTATCACTGAACATTATCTAACTATACTGAGTTCTATCTAACTAGACTAAGTAGTCTTTGGTTAGAGGTTATTCATTAGGCATGTTAGAAGGGTATTTGTACATGGGGTAGAAGTTTGAGCTAGATAGCCTTAAGAGCTTTCCAATACTGAAAATCTGGTGATTCTGTATTGAAAAATTTATTACCAGGTTGGCTACTCAAATTTTATTCTTTTAAAATCTCTGAAACTGCAAATGGGCATGGGGGATCTTTCTGGAGTGATGGAATGTTCTCAAATTGGATTGTGGTGAAGGTTGCACAACTGTAGATTTACTAAAAATCATTGCAACACTTAAAACAGATGAATTTTATGGTATGTAAATTATACCTCAATAAGTCTGTTTTAAAAAAAGTCTCTTAAGACCATACACAGTAATGCATTCATTTTAAATTATAGATTTTATATGTTTAAAGTATGCACTAAAAGTCAAAATACTTTAAAGAGACTGTATATTCAAATAAGAAGTTAAATTTAACACCTGGAAATTACCTAGAATATATAAATGTGTTGGAAATATTTTTTAAAAATGAATATGAATCACCACTGAAGCTGCTGCCTTATTCTTTTAAAATATTATTTATTTAGTTTTAAATTTACACACAGTAAAATCCATTCTTTGTGGTATATAGTTCTGAGTTTTCACAAATGCATACATTCATGTAACCACCATGACAATCAAGATACAGAACAGTTCTGTTACCCTAAAAAAATCCCCTCATGCTGCCTCTTCACTGTCAACCCCTCCCTTCACCCTCAAATCTTGGCAACCGCTGATCTGTTCTCTTTCCTATTGTACTGCCTTTCCAAGAACATTATATAGCGTATAAATTTGAAAATACTTTCACACTTACGAATTATAAATTTTAATTTTTGAATTATTAAAAAGTCATGATTATTTTGGGGTTGTGGGAATTTCCCCGCTGATAACTAGTCAGATTGAGAAAGGCAAGATAGACAGAGCAGGATGAGATTAATCTGAATAGAGTCACACGCATGGAGTCATAGGCCATCAGGGCTAGAAGGCTTTCAATTGTTTAATCCAACACCTTAAGGGTAAATATGAAGAAATGAAGTCCAGAAGAGATGAGTCTCAAGGTTATCCAACTAGTTGCAGAGGCTGGCCTAGTTCTCAGGTTTCCTAAGAGCCAACTTCAGTACTCTTTCAACTACTATGTACCATGATTTTTACGATCGATTTTGTCTGACTCTGAGCTCTAGCAAAATTTTGTCCTTTTGTACTTCCTCTGCCATGCTCCCAATTGCTGGCAATCAAGATAATGCTTGTATATATTAATAGCACTGCAAAGAGGATGATTTTTGGATAATCGTTTCATTAAGTTAATTACAATTCCTGACTCTTAGTGTTATGAAACTATAACTCTTTCACTACTATTCATCTGATGGCTGTTTACTTTGATTCTAGGTAAAGTGACCAAGAGAAAACACACAATTCAGAATCAAGTCATTTTAAAAGACAACAACTGGAAGGAGCTTTAGAGGTCATCTGAGGTGATTCTGAGGAATCCTTAGGCATCTCCATAGTCCCCATCTGAAGCACCTCAGTAGAAGGATAAAGAAAGGGACTGAGTGGTAGCTGTGCTCACCTCCTCTGATTTAATCACCTCGTATCATTTTCATTTTTCCTGAAGGACTTCTGTTAATATTTCTTGTAGTGCTGATCTGCTGGTGATGGATTATTTCAGCTTTTGTTTGTCTGAAAAAGCCTTTATTTCACCTTTGTTTTTAAAAGATATTTTCGCTTTTATTTTCTTTCAGTACTTCAAAAATATTGCTCCTCTGTCTTCTGGCTTGAATTGTTTCCAATGAAAAATTTTCTTTTAATCTTACCTTTGTTCCTCTGTACATAATGTCTTTCTCCTTTGGCTGCTTTTAAGCTTTTCTCTTTATCACTGATTTTAAGCAGTTTGATTATGGTGTATCTTGGTGTAGTTTTCTTAACTTTTTTTGTAATTAGGTTTATTGAGCTTCTTGGATCTATGAGTATATAATTATCATAAATTTAGAACAATTTGGCCATTATTTCTTCAAATTTTTTTGCCCCTCTTCCTTTCATAGACTCCAATTATATGTATATTAATCCACTTGAAGTAGCCCCACAGCTCAATGGTGCTCATACCTTCCCCTCCCCCAGCATTTTTCTGTGTTTTGTTTTGGATAGTTTCTGCTGCTGTGTCTTCAAGTTCACTAATATTTTCTTCTGCAGTGTCTAATCAGATCTTAATTCCACCCAGTGCATTTTTTATATCAGACATTATATTTTTCATCTGTAGAAGTTCAATTGGAGCCTGTTTTATATTTTCCGTGCCTTTCCTTAATATCCTCATGTTTTATTCTACCTTCTTGGACACGTATGTTGTGTTAATAGTAGCTGTTTTAATAGGCTTTTCTAATAATTCTATCATCAGTGTCATTTATGGGTCTGTTTTTACTGATTGGTTTTTGTCCTCATTATGGGTTGTATTTTCCTGATTCTTTGCATGTATGATAATTTTTGATGGGATAGCAGACATGGTAAATTTTAGGCTGTTGGAATTTTTTATATTCTTTTAGATAACTTTGTGTTTTATGTGCTATTAAGTTACTTGGAAACTGATAGAACTTTTTGAGGCTTGCTTTTAAGCTTTGTTAGTTAGGATTAGGGCAGACTTTAGGACTAATTTGGCCTCGCAGGTGAGACAATACCTTTCTGAGTACTCAGCCCAATATTCCATGCATTACAAGGTTTCTGCATGCTGGCTATAAACTATTCTTAGCCCTGTGATATGCACTGATCACTATTCAGCTGAAGCCTCAAGGGGAAACTTCTTCAGATCTTTCTATGTGCAGACCTCTCCTCTTCAGTATTCTGTCCTGTGAATTCTAGCGACCTTGGCCTCTCCAAATTCTGAACTTTTTTTTTGGTATTGTTTTGTTTTCTTTTAGTGTCACCCTCATAAAGTTAGTCTGGAGGTATTCTCATTTCTTCCATTTTTTGAATGGTTTGTGTAAGACTGGTAATATTTCTTCCTTACATGCTTGATAGAATTAATCAGTGAAGCCATCTGAATCTGGAAATTACTTTGTGGGAAGGTTTTTATGATGAGTTTAATTTCTTTAATAGATATTGTATTCTTCAGATTTTCTATTTCTTTTTTGTCAGTTTTGGTAATTTGCATCTTTCAAGGAATTTATTCACTTCATTTGAATTGTCTAATTGGCTTATATAAAGTTGTTTATAATATTCTCTTATTTGTAAATATTTATAGGCTCTGTAGTGATGTTTCTCTTTTATTCCAAATATTGGTAGTTTTTAACCTTTACTCTTTTATTCTTGAGCAGTCTGGCTATAGGTTTAAAATTTTTATTGATCTTTTAAAAGAACCAGAACTTTGGGATTAATTTGGGATTAATCTTAAATAACTTTGAAATTAATTTGCTCTTAGGGTAGAAGCTTAGGTCATTGATTTTAGACCTTCTGTGATGGTTAAGGTTGTGTGTCAGCTTGGCTGGGCCATGATTCTCAGTGGTTTGGCAGTCATATGATGTTGTGATCACTTCCATGATGCAATCTCATATAATGTGATCACCTCCATGATGGGATCTGCTGTGAGTAGCCAGTCAGTTGAAAGGGAGTTTCCTTGGGTGTGTGGCCTGCATCGAATATAAGTGGCCATTCTGATAAGGCTTGTGGGCTATTGCTCATTCTGGATTTTGCAGCTGGCTCCTGTTCGTCTGACCTCCAGTTCTTGGGACTTGAGCTGGCAGCATACCTGCAGTCTTGCCTGCTGATTTTGAGAGTCATCAATCTTTGCAGCCTGTGAGCAAGAGCCCTTCTCTCTGACCTGTCTATCTTGTGGCTACGTGAATCAGGAGAAGCCTCTATCCTAATCCATGGACTTGAGATGTTCCAGCCTCTACAACCACGTGAGCCATTTCCTTGATATGAATCTCTCTCTATATATATTTATACGCTTTACTGGTTTTGCTTCTCTAGAAAACGCAGCCTAAAACAGTGACTTACCTCAGAAAGAAGTTTACTTCTCTCTCATTTAGAAGTCTGCGTAACCCATCCACAGTTGATATGATGCTCTGCAGTTTTAGGGTCTCAAATTCAAGTTCACCATGCAATCCAAGTGGGTCGCTCTAGCTCCAGATAGCACATCTGCCTCACAGCCAGGAGGAAAGAGAAAAGAAGAGATGGTGGGAATGCCCACTCCATTTAAACATCTTCCCACAGTTGTACACATCGCTTCAGCTTTTGTCCCCTTGCCCAGAACGTAAGACATGTGGTCACACCTATCTGCAGTGGGGGCTTGGAAATACATTTTTTATTCTGGATGGCCTTGTGCTCAGTAAACATGTGATGGTTTTAACTAAGAAAGAAGGGAAGAACAGACTGTGAAGGTAACTGTTGGTCTCTATAGGAGGTGAGTGGAGGGGGGAAGAAAGGAGGAGATTCAGCTGGGCCATTGGCACCTGACCATTCTTTTTGGTTGTAATTAGATTAAGAATCCTGTACCAGAATTCATTACACTTGACTGGTGGAGTATATTTACTCTTAGATTCTAGTTGTTCTCCAATATAGGATAGAACCGTGAACCTTTGTTTCCAACCAGGGAAAAATGTGGGCATGTTTTTCCTCCTCTTCACTTCTATTTCATCTGCCGTTTGCTTCTTCCTGGCAGACATGCCACTCCCACTGAAGGAAAGAAAAGAGCAGTGAACCATGTGGGTTTTGCTAATCTGCACTAGGGAAGGAGGGGCTTCAAATATAGCTTTCTCTGTGTTTCTTATTTTTTTGTTCATGTCATTTAATTTCAGGGCGGTATTTAACCAAAAGGTCAGCAGTTTGAATCCACCAGCTGCTCCTTGGAAACCCTATGGGGCAGTTCTACCCTGTCTTATAGGGTCACTACGAGTCAGAATCAACTCGATGGCAATGGGTTTGCTTATTCTGCAGCCCTAGTGTTGCAGTGGTTAACAGCTCAGCTGCTAACCAAAAGGTTGGCAAATCCACCAGCCGCTCCTTAGAAACCCTATTGGGCAGTTCTAACTGGGCCACTATGAGTTGGAATTGACTCGACTGCAAAGGGTTTATTCTGTTATCTAAGGAGCCCTGATGGGCAGTGGTTAAAGTGATAGACTGCTAACTGAAAGTGGATGGTTCAAAACCACCAGTGGCTCCATGGGAGGAAGATGTGGCAGTCTGCTTCCGTAGAGATTTACAGCCTTGGAAACCCTATGCGGTAGCTATGAGTTGGAAATGACTCGATAGCAGTGGGCTTGGTTTTTGTTTTTGTTTTTTTTGATTCTGTGATCTAGCTTCACAAGTTTTTCACCTTATCCCAAAGCCCTTTTCAAATATCCCTAAATGGAGACAAAATATAGCATTGTAAATTGGGCAGGTAAATTTATCAGAATAAGAAAACCCTGGAGCCCTGGTGGCACAGTGGTTAAGAGCTCGGCTGCTAACCAAAAGGTCAGCAGCTTGAATCCACCAGCTGCTCCCTGTAAACCGTATGGGGCAGTTCTACTCTGTCCTATGGGGCCACTATCAGTTGGAATCGACTCTGTGGCAACAGGTTTGGTTTTTTGGTTATGAACATGATTTAGTGGCTACCATATCCCTCTAATGAAAGTCTGATAATCCAGGCTAAGATGTAATTATTCTTGCTTGCCTGAAGATATATAATTTTATTTTTCTTAGAAAAGTAATTTCCTGATCACTTATAAACTTAAAATTTTACCGGGAAGTAATAATACTCTCATCTTCTATGCTGTTGGCTATTTTTCAGCTCCTAAACCTGTTGGTTATGATGATCTAAAAGTATCTTTATTTAATAAATGAAGTCATTTTATGACACTTTAGAAGAGAGCTCCAGGGACACTTAGGGAACTATCTTACTAATGGACTTTATTGTAAGATACTCTTCTTCTGTGTTTTCCTCCTTAGACAGCTGTCTCCTAAAAAAATCAGGCTGGCCTATAATGACAGTTGGACTCATCTAAAAGACCTGATTAGATTTAATCTAAACACAGAATCCCCAACTTAGGGGAAAGTGGATACAATCAGAAATCTTCGCCTGCAGACCAACGACAGATCTGAGCCCTACGATGGTCAAACTCCAAGATGGGGAGATGTCACACCTCTGTGAGAACAGAAACAAGAGGGGACCTCATGCCACCAAGAAAGTAGAGCTGGGAGTATGCATCCTTTGGACCCAGGGTCCCTGTGCTGAGAAGCTGCTCGACCAGGGGGAGATTGATGACAAGGACTTTGCCCCAGAGCCGACAGAGAGAGAAAGCCTTCCCCTGGAGCTTACACCCTGAATTTGGACTTCTAGCCTCCTAGATTATGAGGAATAAATTTCTCTTTGGTAAAGCCATCCCCTTGTGGTATTTCTCTTCTAGTAGCGCTAGATAATTAATACCCCTTCTTTTTCTAATATAAACATTTAAAGCTACATATTTCCTTTTAAGCATTACTTTGGCTGCACCCCACATATTTTGGTATGTTGGCCTTTCATTTTATTCAGTTCAAAATATTTTTTAATTTCCCTAGTCTTTGACTAATGGATTATTTAGAATTGTGTGGTTTAATTTATAAAATTTGGGGATTTTCCAGGTATCCTTTTTCTTTTTTAATTGTGTTCCAAGTTAATTCCTTTGAGGTTAGAAACCATATTTTATATGATTTCAACTCTTTTAAATTTATTGAGATGGCATATATTCTATTATAATGAATATTCCATGAGCATTTGAAAATCAATATCCTACTGTTGCTGGGTGGAGTGCTCTATAAGTGCTAATTAGTTCAAATTGTTGGAGAGTGTTCAAATCTTGTATATCCTTGATGATTTTTTTAAAGAAGTCAATTACTGACAAAAAAGTATTGAAATTTCCAGCTATAATTGTGGATTTTTCTATTTATCCTTTTAGTTTTTTCTCATATATTTTCACATTTGTCATTGTTGTCATGTGCCATAGCAACCTTATAGGATGGAGTAGAACTGCCCCCATAGGGTTTCCTAGATTGTAAACAGGTGCAGATCACCCGGTTTTTTTCTCCCATGGAACCACTGGTGGGGTCAAACCACTGATTTTTCAGTTAGCAGCCTAGCGCTTAACCATTGTGCCACCAGGGCTTCTGTTCTGTTACTACGTGCATGCATATTTAGGATTGTTATTTACTCTTAATAAATCAACTCTCTTCTTATGAAATGTTTCTCTGTAACTTAGGTAATATTCTTTTTTTCTGAAATCTACTTTGTTTGATATTAATATACCAAATCCAGCTTTCTTATGATTAGAGTTTGCATGATATATCTTTTTCCACCCTTTTATTTTTAACTTACTTGTGCTTATATTTAAAGTGCATTTCTTGTAGACAGCATATAATACACCTAGCTTTTCCTTTCTAATAGCTTTTTTTCTGCTGATCTCTGCCTTTTAATTGCAATGTTTAGAACAGTGGTTCTGTACTGGGAGCACTTTTGCCTTCCTGGCTATAATATTTAGCAATGTCTGTAGATGTTTTTGATTGTCACACGGGAGGGGTGCTACTGGCATCTTGGTGGAGACTAGAGATGCTGCCAACCTTCCTATAATGTACAGGCCAGCCCACACAATAAAGAATTATTTGGCCCAAAATGTTGATAGTGCTAATATTTTCTGGGCTTGGCCATTTATACTGAATGTAATTA